TTTTGAATTTTTTATATAGAGAATAAGACAAAAAGAAGAGTGTGAGAGCATAGGGTGGAAGAGGATGGTAATAGATAGGGAGATAATCCTACTCCTATATACAATTATTTTGTAGCAATTTTAAATTCCTTTAAACAGTTCATATTGGAGTAGTTTAGCTTCTCATAAACTTTGAAAAGGTTTATTTATTACATATTTCAATGTTGAACAATACTTTACATCCTACACAACAGCTTGTGTATGGCCCACGCATTGTCATGCCATTACATTTGAGATATGAGTCAACTTGCTCTACTACTATGAAAGCAATTGAGGTTTCACTTTAAAACCAATTGACAATAGAAAAAGTAACCTAACTCTTTATAACCCTTGCAAAATTTCTTATATTTTAAATGTGAGACAACGTTCACATTATTGCACATTCAATTGGTATCAAATCTTTGGTTGCGGTGTTTTGGAAAGAATAAAAAGTCATTCACCTCTATGCTCAATATACTTGAATATCTTTCTTTACCAATCTAATCCTAAAGACCGAACGAGACATACAACTACAAATACTCTTCTTAAAATAATTGTGTATTATATTACCTGTGTTCGTGGCATGGAAATCACCTTTGACTTCTATTTGCCCACAAGTCCTTACAAAAACAAGTTATTGATAAATCACACCCTAGACCTAGAACCTACCTTTTACATTATAAAAGGAGATGGGTAGTAATAATACTATCCTCCCATTTGGGATTGGGAGTAAAACAAAATCCTTCATCCCTCACTAATATAATCCTTGAGCCCTTTAATAGGAGGTTTTTCAATGTACCAAAAATAAGACCTACATTTAATGTAATAATATAATTACTTCAAAATTTAAAAATATAATTTTAACAAAATTATATTATAACACTTGACGTTATGAGTTATGTTCCTAACACACTGAAATATTTCTCCCTATGGTAGCATTAACCCCAAAACCACCACTTAATCCTCAAATATTTATATTAGGGTTAGGGCTGCCCTCTCTTATGTATTCACATTTAACACTAGCTAGCAACAAAAGAAAAACTCAAGCTGCCCAAATTTTAGGGTTTAGAAAGATTCGTATAATTTCATATTACTAAACGCGTTTTCTCTCTCTCATTATTTCTCTCTCTAGAAACCTAGATCTAGAACTTCTTCTCGGGCTTCAACTTTCAGCCGCCGCCCTTGGTCTTGCTCGAGTAGGCGGCAACCTATTACTTCCTCCTATTTCCAGTCTCATTCTTCCCTCATCCTTCCTTCATTCCCTCATTTGCCTTTTTCTTCTTTTTCCTCTCATCTCACTTCCTCTGCTCCATCCCCCTCCCTGCATCCATCTTTTCCTCTCATTTTTCCAATCTTCTTCTTTCGTTTTATTCCTGTTTCTCTCTGAGTTTATCTTAGTTTTCTCTGAGTTAAGTCTCAAATATCCCCTGAGCTTGTCTCATATATGGGCTTCATGCCCCTTATCAGACATCTTTTGCCTACTTTTTCTGCTTTTTGTCTTTTAACTTTTTGTTCTCCATCCTCCTTAGTTGTGATACTCCATCCCCATCCCATCATGTACTCGAATAGGCGAGCTCCGAACAGGAATAGGATACGAAATCTACTTCCCTCTTTCACTTCCCTTCCCCCAACATGCATGCCTATGTCGAATCCCCATCGAGGCCAAGTGTTGGGTATTTTACATACCACTTAGCCTCATTCTCTACCCCTATGATACCTTGTTTGTATATATTTGCAGAGGTTCATGAAGAGGACTTGGATCTGGTGTCTACTTTCTCAGTTCGAAGTTTGGCTTCCTCCGAGGATGTATCGGCGGCAGAAATGTGGTCTTTGCTGTTAGAGATTAGAGTTTTTTATTGTCTTCTTTCTGCTGCCTTTGGGTTTAAGCTTGTGTGGGTCTCTTATTGTATTTTGGGTTGCTGCTCTTATTTTGTTTGGGCCTTTGTTTATCGAGTCCTTTTTAGGCCTTGTTATCGTGTCCTGATCCCAACATACGACTAAGATTGCCATGTGACGTCACCACATTCCTGTTTATCTATCATGTCTTGATTCCAAAACAAAACCAAAACACAATCTATGATTTAACCACGCATTCATTTTCTTTTATTTCATGGCCACATCTAACATTAACATTAGACTGCCTATGTACCCTAAGAAGGGATCAAGCCATTCGTAGTTCACCATTCACTAAACTCAAACATTTATCCTAGTGCGTTCTAACAGGAAGGCATAACATTCCTCAATCAATTATTGGGACTTGATAAGTATGAGTTACTAGATTCAGAGCTACATAACAAACCCACATGACAATCAAGATTTCCATTTCATCTATCTTATAAATCACTATGTTTCAAAATAATACTGCAATTTATAGCATGCAACATCTCAAAGAACAACCAACTTAGCACAATATTATTCTCTAGCCACATTGGTCAACGAATCTGATCATAGTAATAACAATCATATCCAACATCATTCCACAATCATTCCAATGAATCAATCCCAAGAATCAAAGATGCACGATATTAACATTTAACTACATTAATTAATCAATAAGATCACATATCAATTCACGAAATTTAATAAAGGAATTCTACATAATTCCCTATCTGGATTCCAAGTAATAACATGATAAATCTAATTTATAAACACAATTTCTACTGTGAGCAATTCTTATTCACTCGAATCTAGGGTCGGACTAACCTTATGGAAATGAGCAAGAGTAGGGATTTTGAACCACTTAACGGAATCCAACTAAAATATGGTCGCCTATCGAAATATACCAAGTACAACTAATCCTCATCACCCCTAGAATAAGTATGGTACCCCATTGCAGATATACCAAGCAGAACCACAAGCATAATCTAATCGTGCAGGCAGTGATCACCCATCACGGATATACTAAGCATGATCACAAAATGCGTATGGTCTCTCATTACGGATAAACCAAGTAGAACCATAAACATAGTCTAATCGTGCAGGCGGTGATCATCAATCATGGATATACCAAGCATGATCACCCACGAAATACGTATGGTCCCTTATTGCGAATATACCAAGCAGGACCATCCATGTACCACTGCTACATGGTGCAGTTAGACCTACACACAACCTCCTTACCCCTATCTCAACCTCTATGATTTACAACGTAATCACCTACACTATCAATTTCTAAAACCACTAACTAACATGTCACACAAGCATACAAGTTCTACGGAATACTTTTAATAAGATTCTAGGCTCACATTTTCATAATAGTTACCTTAGATGTCATTCATATTATCAAAAAGATAAATACACATCTATATCACAATAAGGCGTCTCATACACGTAAACTGAGGTATTTATTACCTGGGATAGCTCACTAACCGTTATAGGCTCACTAAGCCCTATTTAGTCTTTAGTAATACTAATTTTAGTATTCAAGAACGATCAAGAACATTTTGATCAAAATCAACCCTAGTAGATCAATTAGGAAGATTCACCCACCGGATTTCCAATCCGTAAGGTCCTAAGGTCATTAAATATTACGTATAATAACATATTAAAGTTTGGTAAATATCTAACGGTCGGATCGTCTATTGTTATAATGATCAAGTGGTGGCTTCTAACGAAAGTATGTTCAAACGACGGGATTTCATCAATCGGATGTCAAATATAGATTCGGGGTATCGAATTTAGCCTAGAAAGACAGAGTTGGCCCACTGGCCATGTGTCGCCGCATGCAGCAATTTTCGACGAACGGAAACACAATTTTTCGACTAACTCAAAAAATTATCAAATTTTAAAGAAATGTAGAGCTCATCAAGGGGAATAACTTTCATACCTGGGCCGCAGTTCAATTTGGCCGGGAAACACCTGAAATTGGCCTCGATCCTTCAAAAACCCTATAATTGGGTGTTCTCGATTCGACCTCAAAACGTACTTCGACACCTCAACAAAGCATGGGTTTTGTTCCTGAGATTCAGAAGAGTATATTGGGAATGGTGATCGACAAAGTTGGTTTCAGAAATGGCAGATCGTCGCCAAGGAACCCCAGCTGCACCGACATTAATCACGTTAGTTTTTGGGTGAAATTGAAGGAAGGAGTGATAGACTGGGTTTGAAGTGAGGATTGACATGACACCGATCCCATCATTAATGGTGGCTGGAATAGGGAGATATGGCCGGGTCGGGTCGACAGGTCGAAGAAAGGATATGATTCCCTCATTTCCCTTATTTCCTCCCTCCTGATTCGTCACTCTCCCTCATTTTCTCTCTCTCATCTCTCTCTTTTCCCTTATCTCTTGCTGCCATCTGGTAGCTTCTAATTTTTATTTATTTTTTTTAAAATTTTTTTTTATTTTGACAACTAAAACGTCTTTAATTTCTTCGTTTCAATACCAATTCGAGAACGGTTTTCGCCTACGCGCTCGTAGGATCGAGCTCTATCCAATTATACTTAGTGTGGCCCCATAAAGTCCACGGATTTTTAATGATTACTAACCAAAATTCAAATTTTGTAATTAGTTTAATTAAAATCTAAATTTAATATAAATTCTCCAAAATAATATAAAATCTCATTAATACAAATACGTAGTTTACAATAGTAAAATCTCGTTACACTTGTTTACTAGTTTTTATCAAAATGAAAGTTGATTATTATTTTTTGAACAAACGATATTATCTACCGTAAGGGGGGTGGGAAAGTGGACTAAGCCTCACAATGAGCTAGCAATAATGTGGTTCAAATTTGCCTTTGGTAAGAATAAAAAACCTCTTACTTACTAGTAAAGAGAAATACCATTGGATCATAGTACTAAGTGGTATAATGGAAATTAATTTTGTGATAAAAAAAAATCCTTAAATATTTAATAATAATTAAATAAAAATCAAAGGGTTTGGTCAAGAATCATTCGGACAAAGAATTACGTGGCAGTCTAGGGTGAAACGCAGCTTCCGAAAATCCCCTTCCCCCACAAAAGCACTTAACTCGTCACCACACGACTTATGACTTGTATGAGACGCCGCGCCTACTGCTCACTCCCCACTCTCACACTTTGCCCTTTGCCCTTTTGCCCCCTAATTCGCCCTCCCAACTCCCGCGAAATTACCCACCCGCCCAGATCGCGCTCCTAGTCCTAGACCTCCTCCGCCTCCTCCGGCGGTGAAATTCCCGCCATGAACGCCCCCACGACGACGTTTCGCTCCATTCTCGAGAAGCCCCTCAATCAGCTCACCGAGGATGACATTTCCCAGCTCACCCGCGAAGACTGCCGCAAATACCTCAAAGAAAAAGGTCCTCCCTTTCTCTTCTCTCTTTTCGCTAATTTCCACTTTTGCCCCTCCACCCCCCATCGCCATGTTTTCCGGTTCGCCTAAAATCACGGGACAGCGCACTCCTCACACTATATTTAATTGTCGAAATTAATTAATTAAATGACGAGGAATTCGCCTTTTTTTCCGGCAATTTTTAAAAAATGTGGTGACCACGTGTCCGTACAGGAATGCGGCGGCCCTCCTGGAACAAATCGCAGGCGATCCAGCAGGTTATTTCGCTCAAGGCGCTGCTGGAGCCCAACGACGATTCCGGCGCCGGAGCTCTCAGAAAGATTGTCGTTTTGCCTCAGACGACCACCGCCACCACCCAGCGCGTCAGTACTTTCGTATGTGTTTGTTTCCCGAGAAATTAAAAACGGGAGAGAAAATTACAGTAATCTTTTCCCTTATGTTTACCACTTGTTTGATTGCAAGTTTTCTGTGTACAGGCGGCTTCGAGTTCCGCTGATTCAGCTAAGGAAGCGAGCCCTGATGTCCAGGCTTCGGTGTCCGCTGACGAATTGGCGCCGCATCCGAGAAATGAACCGTCCAAACCAGCTCCCGAGGACCCGCCGGTCTATGCGGATACCATCAGTCCCAGGTTGATCTTCTTCAAAACTCTCTATTGACTTGCTATAATACAAAGACATTAGCTGAATTTTACTGATTGGTGTAGTTTGAGTATGTTAAGCACAATGTGGTAGTGAAGTGTGCTAATTTAGCTAATTGAAGCAATTTTCAGGATAAAAATTCCTCAAATTAGTAGACTCTGGCTTCATAATGTAGGCTTTGTCCTTTGGGAATCCATATCGAGTCTAGTATGGTCATTTGAGCTTAGTAGATTGAAGGGGAAATGGGTTTGTGGAAGAGATTTTGAAGCGGATTCTCGTTTTCATGTGTTGCCCGAATAGGTGTTAAAGAAGCCCCACATGATAAAGGTGGCACCGTGTTTACCAATTTGTGGCAGGCTTATCTTTTCTCCATGGGTCACGGCTTATGCTTGAGTTGATTACATACGTATTAAAGGTTTAACTGAAGTGACTTTGCGGTTAGGGTGCATATTCTCTGTGTTCCTTAAGACGGGTATGAAGCCAAAGTAGATTACTTTGTTTTGTGGAACATTATACTGCAATTTCTTGATTATAACTATTTCAAATGATGCAAATAATTTGCTGTTTCTGCTGAAAGATTGGAAAGTATGTTTATAATTAAGATGAATGTGTAGGGGGTGGTGAGAACATTGTATGCAATCATTCATGTGATATATTTATACTACCGTTCTAAAGGAAAGCATTTGAAATTGTGGTCGCAGAAATCATTGTACAACTGATGCATCAGTTAGGAAAATGACAATTTTCTACAGCGGCAAGGTGAATGTATATGATGGAGTGCCACCTGATAAGGTAAATGAAGCTTTCTCTTTGAATGGAGACCTTGAGATAAGCCTTCCAATGCAGGGATATATGGATTTGCAGGCACGGGCAATCCTGCACCTTGCAGCAGGGCCCAACCATTTGCTTTTGGACAATCAATTTGGTGGTGCTGCAGCAGCAAGATCCTTACATTGCCAATTTCAGAATGCAGGCGATAAAGATGTCCTTTCCCTTCCTAGTGCAACAATTTCTCAGGCAATGCAAACAGGTATTTCCGCAGAAGGAACTCTTAGCTTACATTCTTACTACATTAGTTGGAATGTAGTTAGCCGTGTAATTGACATTTAGTTAAAAATGCACATAGTGAATGGAAATGAGATCCAAGGTATGGTTCTAAGCATTGCCTTCTTTCATTCATGGAACAATGTGATTTCACTAAATTTAATTTTTTAAAATTCATCCAAAATTGAGCTTGCTGAAACAAGAATTTTCTATTCAACTTCCTTAATCTTCCTATGGGTGCCGCACTAAACATAGCTTAGATCTTTGTTCAGTTTTGGGTCTCGATTAATTAGGAGTCACTGAGAAAGGATTTTTGCTGTTGTAGTTTCTGATAGATAGAGACCTTGACAGTCAACAATATCGAAAAACCTGTGGTATAGGATTATAGCTTTTGAGTTTCTGGTGGTTATTTAATTGATTTCAATGGATCAATGGCTAATTAATTGATAGTTTCATGTAACTTTGCAGAGAAGATTGGTGAATGTACACAGCAGTACTGGGAGAAAGTGAACAACACTCGTGATCCTGGTAAGTTCAGTATTTGTGTACCACTACAGAAGTTGCTTGTGTGATTTGCAAAATTTTATCTCCTATCACTTATTTGGGTGAAAAGTATGCAGTTCTTAAACAGAAATATGCTTATTGGTGCAAGTCATATGGTTTCCAAGGCTATGCATTTCAATATCCTAGATTAAAAGAAAAAAAAAAACAAGATATAAATCTTTATAGATGCTAACCATACATTAGTTTCACTGAGTATGTGGAAGGTCATATTTTCTTATATGTAAAACTGCTAATTAGATTTTCTATTCCTTTTTTCCCCTCTCCTCGCTGTGTATGTTTCCCTTAGGAGTATTTGGGAGGAAATTTAATTATTTCATAAAGCTGTAAAGCAAAATATAACACTGAAATCATAGTTAGTGATGCTAGTTTGCAGAAGTGGGGTAACTTTAAGATGTATTATTTTCACAGAAGTATTTTAGTGGAGGGTTAATGCATTTACACTACTATCACAAGATTCAAATAACAACCAATTTTGTTGTCACCTCAGGCCAAAGAAAAGAAACTGCCACTGTTAACTGTTTTGTTGTAACATCTCTAACTCCATCTGTCACTTGCTCCTTTGAAAGACTCATCTCTCATGCTAAGTTCGAATGAGGAACTTTAGTTTACGAAGGAAATTTAGACTAAAAAAATGTACTCACTACCAATGAACTACTCAATCACACAAAGCTACTACTAAAACATTACAAAGATGCCAAACAAAGGACTTTCAATGACACCTGAAAGTACCCAAATGTATTGCGTCTAGTCATTTTCAACTCCGTCTATCTGATTTTTGTAGTGCTATCCTAACAAATTTAGCCCAAGTTCCATGAATTCTTACAGTTCGTCATCCAAACACACCATAAATGTACGTTTGCTACTGATACTGCTCCCTGTCAGTCTGTCACTTTCCTTTCCCATTGCTTATGCTGCAGTCACGACCTTAACATGACTCCTTTGTTTGCTGTTGGATTCTGATGAAAAGGTCTTAGAGGCTTAACTGGTTAAAGAAGCTTCACTGTTTGCTGTATTAAATTTCCTAGTTTCCTTTCCTTGAAACATTCGGTGGTAATTCTTAAGATGCAGAGGGTCAGGCGAACAGAAAAGTCTCGTTGCAGAGATACCTTGAAAAGCGAAAGGACAGGTACGTATGGGTAGAAACTATTCTTTACTACTACTAAAATCATCTGTTGCATATTAAAACTCCTAAGTCCTATTCATTTCCTCCATTTTTTTTTGCCCATGTTTCTACTAGGGAAAAATTAAAGATGAAGAAAAATATTGGATCGAATACTAGCTTGGAGGTTTACTTGAATCGTCAACTCAGGACACATACCTCAAATGGTAATTCAAGTCAGTATGGCACAAGCTCTCCACCCCAACCTGGGCTGCTACAGACAGCTGAAAATCAGCCAAAGTTCCGCTGTCTTCCTGTTGACCTAAACGAGAAGGGTGAGCCATAAAGTTCCTCCTTTGTATATTCTATGACATTTGATATTCATATTCATAATTCTTTGCGAATTTAACCTTTATAGTTTTGCGACCAAACATAAATTGACTTATCAGGTAGATTGGATGCCGAATTCTGTTATGTGATGGTATTTGAAGGATTGAAGTCAGAAACAGATGATGTTATGTGACAATATTTTGGATTATAAAATATTTACAGGTTGTTTGGTTTTGTTTTGTTTTTCCCGGGCTGGCTGTAATGCAGATATCCTGGAACACCGGACTTGACAATTTCCAGGTCATAAAGAGTTGGGATATGGTTGAGGACCCCTTACCCTAAGTTAGCGCCATGACATACCTCGCAGGATGGGTAAGAAGAAACTAATTTAACTGGCTTCTAGCGACCTGCGTTTTTGTATGATTGGGCTGCTCTGCGACCATGAAGTTTTTCCAGACTTTAGCCTATCAGGAGGAGGATTCTCAGTTTGGACTGGTATGACTTTGATCAGTTTTGTAATTTGTAGGATCATATTTTCATCATCGGGATTTTTCTTCTTTGTCCATGTTATTAGGGTCGAGATGTAGAGCTGCAAGCAGCAATATCCTTTTTAACTCCCTATGTATGTAATTAGTGTATGCGGTACCATTCTCCGTGCCGAGAGCTTATTGTACAAGTTGAAGGAGACTCTCTCCTTCAACGTTTTGTTGCCATGAAGAAGACTTCTATGTAATTTACCATCACTTTGTTTATAAGCTAGCCAACTAAAGTTGGCAAAAATGTGTCGCAATTTGCAGAAAAATCGCGGCTCAGTTGGTGCATCGGAAAAATCTATTATTTTCCGGCTTACCCTGCAGTTTTTAGGTTTCCACTTTAAAGAGCCTCTTTGGGCAGAGCTTCGATCTAGTTTCCTATCGCTTATATAATGTCATTTGACCACGTTGCTTATTTCTCGAACAGTGCATGTATCTGGTACCTGTAACATGAGTTTCTAATTAACTATTTTTAGGATACTAAGCTCCGTTGACACGGGCACTTACATGAAATGCGAATTGGAATTATTTTGATTCCTAGCCTCCTTTATGTGCACTAACGTTTGGTTATTGGTGTTATTTTGATTTACTAACACATGAAATTCACAAAATATCGAATTCCCCTACAAGTTCTTTACCTTGTGTTGGTGATTTGAAAATGATAATCGAACAACTTAAAGTGTACAAAAATTGTGTGCTGTACAACTTCATTTCATAGTAGAAAACACTTAAACTGCTATTTAACTCTTAACTCAATTGCTATTGCACCCAATTATTATTCAACCCGATCGACATTAACAGTTGATTGGGGAGGGGATTTTCCTTTCATTTAATTATTAAAGTGTTTCTCGTTAAGCTTACAATCACACTTTTTATTTTCTTTCTTTTTTTGCAATCTCATTTTACTCTCGGCACTTTATTTTGTCTCGCTAAGCTTAAATTTACTACAATATATTTAGGTACTTATTTCGGCACACTAACTTAGTAAAATATATTATAACATGAACATTTGGGTACACTAATTAGAGGAAGTAAAATAAATATAATGAATTAAAATGTGTATAATAATAAATAATTTTAATTTTAATTTAATGACATTAAATAAGATTTCTATTAAATATTAAAACAAAAATATAATGTAAGTTTGAATTAAGTACACACTAGAGGACTAAAATTAATATCTAATCTAAGATCAGGTTTTTGTTGAATTTTAGTCTTCTTCAAGGATTAAAGTTCAAAAACCCCTTTAATTATGAAAGTGTTTCTCGTTAAGCTTACAATCACACTTGTTTATTTATTTATTTTTTTTTTTGCAATCTCATTTTACTCTTGGCATTTTATTTTGTCTCATTTTATCATATTCTGTTAACTCTGTCACATAAACTGTTACATATTATCGTGGCATTGACATTCTTATAATTTTAGCGAAAACAAATTGAAACATAAAATATAAAAAGGTAGGGGTGGGGAGGTGGTAGTTGTGGTTGAAATTTTGTTTTAGTTTTACATTTTATTCTTTATATTATTGTATTTTATTTTATTTATTGTAATGAGTAAAATTATTAGAATGTACATGCCACATTAGCAAATTAATGGTTTATGCAACGGAGTTAATGAAAAGTGCTAAAATAAGATGCAACAAAACAAAGTATAAGGGATAAAGTGAGACTTTGCTAAGAGTTCATCTGTCATGGCTGAAAACAAGCCTTGGACTTGTGCCAACTCGATTTTTCAATGAGAGATGAGTAAAATTTTGACATCCGAAAAACTATCATTCGGTGCTGTTATTTCATTTAAATTTTAGACATGTAATCGAAAAAGGTTATATAAGTTATGTCACTCACACATGTTATAATACGTATAATATTATGTATCAATGTTTTGGATAACACGTGCAATTGTAGATCGATGGTAGTATCATGTACTAGAATCACTCAATGTTGTCCACATTTTGTAAACACATCAAAATTTGAAATGGCTAAATGTTTGAAATTCAAGAAGTAGAGAAGAATAGCCCTGTTAGTACAAAAGTAAAAGACGATTTTTTGAATTAAAATTTAAAAGTGAATGATGAGTATTAGAAATATTATATTTAATTTGGGATGAGATCTGTTAGATGAAAAAAAAAGATAATGATTAAATTTGTTTAAAGTGTTGAGAAGGGACGCAAAGCAATAAAATTAAGTGTAATACTAATCTTATTTTCTCAAGTCGGGATGGTCCTGAGACGACTGTAGCCCTTATGCGCCTCCACCGGTAGATGTCGAAGCTTTGAAACGTCAAAACGACGACGCGGCCCAACAAATTGTCAAATTCAATTAACCTGGACAGGGCACATAATTGCCGTATGCGTAAACATCGGATGGGTATCTTCGTCATTTCATCTCATCCTCCGAGCTTCGTTTAAAGACCACGCGTAAGGCCACTCCAGATTGTTCCGGAATCGTATCGACAGCCAAAACGCAGAGCAACATCAGCAGCAGCCATGGTTGGCTCCCAAAGGGTACGCTCCAAATCCCAATTATCTCTCTCCTCGAGCTATCTTGTTTCCCGGGAAAAAAAAGAGCTATCTTTTTCCCGTATAATTTTCTTATTGCAAACTGAACCGATGATTAATTGTTTAAGTCAGATTTTCTGAATAATTTTCTGTCTTTGTGGATTTTGGTTTAATTATATTTTCTTGGGAGTTATTACCTATTATTAATCCGGTTGTATTAGATTAAGATTTTAAAGAAGTTTATAAATTTCAGTGTATTCAATTAGAAATGGATTTTAAATGATTTGAGAAAGTTGAGGAATTAGATGGAATTGGAGAGATTTCGTAGTGTATTTTAAGCATCCACAAATCTCACCTCTCCTCATGAGAATTCGTTGAGAGATTTCGAGCGAATTGAATCAAATTTTTATATGGAATCTCTACAAATTAATTACGCTATAAAAATCCATGGATTTATAAATCCATTAAAGTCTCTCAAATTCTCAATTGAATACAACCTCCTAAATGAGATTTTCTGAATAATTTTCTGTTGTGTTTGTTGATTTTGGTTTAATTATATTTTCTTGGTCAAAGATTCAAGCTTAATGCATCATTTGTTGATTATTTTCTGTTGTTTATGTGTTTGGATTGGATTAATGGGTGATTAAGGTGATTCCAGTAGTAGATTATATTGAATTTTGAGTTATTACCTATTTATCTTTGTGTGATAAGTTGTGGGAATTAAGATATTGCTTGAATGTAATTTTGTTGAATTGAAGTAGTAATAGAAAGGCAGCTAGGTACAATTTTTTTTGGCTATGGCGGCAACCCCGCCAATGGGTTTGTTTTGATTGTAAAAATTGTGATTAAAAGGGTTGGAAATGTGATTGTCAAAGAATTAAACAGAGAGGATACACATTAGGTTCAGATGTTTTTGGGAGTTAGACACTTTTTCGGTTCAATGGTACTGAATCTTGGGGTTTTCTATGCTACGTTCAATGTTATTCTGTTTGTAGGAATAAAGAGGGAAAAGAAAAAACATGCATTTTTGTGATCAGGATATCATTCTCATAATGTTGTCATATGCAGGATCCTAGAGAAGAAGTCATCCAAGCATGGTACATGGATGATAGTGATGAAGACCAGAGGCTCCCCCATCACAAGGAGCCCAAGGAATTTGTATCCCTGGACCAACTCGCCGGTAAGCATTTTTTGGGAAACAAATATTTGTTTAACAGATAATGCTTGTTTTAGATTTTAAAAATCAATGTATTATAGAAACCTTGAGAGCGACATCTGTAATTGATGAAATAAGATGAACTAGGCTTAGGTGGTATTAATTTATACGAAGCAGACCAGTAGATGCATTTTTAACCAAATGATGCTGGTTAATGTAAAAGGTAAAATACCAAGCATGCGGAGACTAATCTGGTCCAGTATTTAACTTCCTGCGAGCAATTATGTTTATCTTGCAGAGCTTGGAGTGCTCAGCTGGCGTCTAGATGCTGATAACTATGAAACAGATGAGGAGTTGAAGAAGATTCGTGAAGAACGTGGTTACTCCTACATGGTTTGTCACACTAACTTACGTTTTTCTTTTCTATATTTTTAATTTCATTTTGTCATGTACCTAAACTCTTTAGTTCATTATGTCAAGGCACTGATTCACAACACTGTCAAGTTTTGTCCATTGATCACAATTCACTGGTATCTTGTGAAAATGATTGTTTCTTTCGACTATTAGAAATGTTGACCCTTTTTGAATGCACAATTTGGAATGTTTTCAGCCATTTTCCCCTTCCCGTTTATAGTCCAGATTATGGGAACTGTGAATATGGAAATTCACAATAACTCTTTCTGCATTGTTTTACGGTATATTTAACCGGATAATGTTTTCCTCTTGTAGGACTTCTGTGAGGTTTGCCCTGAAAAGCTTCCTAATTATGAGGAGAAGATAAAAAATTTCTTTGAGGAACATCTTCACACTGATGAGGAAATTCGATATGCTGTGGATGGAAGTGGTAGGATTAGTTACTTTATCGCAGTATGTTATCCCTTCTTTACTCACCTCTTTTGATTAATGATTGTGTACTTTTTTGTGAAGGTTATTTTGATGTTAGGGACCGCGATGAACGTTGGATTCGCGTATGGCTGAAAAAGGGGGGAATGATTATTTTGCCTGCTGGAATTTATCACCGATTCACTTTGGACACAAACAACTACATAAAGGTATTAGTTCATAGCGCCAAAATGTTCTAATGACCACTTTTTGTTTTTTTCCCCTTCTCTCTTTTCTCCAGTTAAGTGGAGTCTCATTACGCTTGTATGAAGACACACTTCTACATTTTGTGGCACCGACTATTTAAAAGCATATTATTTATGGGACGATGATGAGGGTTCAGGATGTGATCTTCCATTATTTGCTTCAATTTTTTTTTTCTTTTGTAAGAAAACAAAACCTTGCCTCATCTTACGCCTCCCTATCATTCATTGGTGTGTACTTTGTCATCGTGATTTCCCAGTGAACTTGTGACAAAAGACACCTAAGTAGTTGAAGCACTGTCACATAACACTAAGGTAGACATCAGCACTTGATATGGCATTTGATGGACTAGTTCACCAAAGTGCATTAATTGTAATGTAGACGAGAATAATGATTTCGTGTGCCTTCGAGATGCCAGGCATTACTGTTGTTACGTCTGTGTCTGTGGTGTAGTGTCAATTAAGAAGTCACAATTTACCTTATAGTGTTTAATCTATGAAATTTAAGGATGTTCAAAAAAACATATGTTTGATGTAGGCAATGCGTCTATTTATTGGCGATCCAGTTTGGACCCCCTTTAACCGTCCTCATGATCATCTTCCTGCAAGGTATGGTTCTGTCTTTCTCTACATTTTGGACTTACCTACTTCCATTCATGCATGCAATAGAATGCCCGATAGGCTTTGAGTCTTCTCACAAAGGGACCTTCCTTGCAGGGAGGAGTATCTTAAAGCTTTTGTGCACAAGGAAACTGGTGACCATGCAGTTAACGCTGCGGCATAGAATATGGCGTTTGTTTCTAAATGTGGGGTTTACAAATAACAAAATACGGTATTGGCTATGAAAAAGTTACGTATGGTTGTATTGTCTGGGATGTATAACTTGTGGCCTTGCGATGCTTGTTAAGTTGTGTTGTAGTAGTGCTGGCCTTTCCATAAACTCGAATAAATTCCGAGTATCTTACCAGATGTTCTTTATGTATGGTACATAACTCTCTAAACATTTAATAACTATATAGTTCTATTGTGTGTGTTTATGGTTCCAGCGTAACCCTTCATCCCTGGCATGCTAGAAGTAGGTGTTGGTTCCTTTTGGTTTTTGATTCAGCCAAACACCTCATTCAGATTTGGAAGCTATGACATGTACCTGCGTTGTGGGTTTCAATGGTTTCGATGATGTGGCTAAACTCGCGAAATTGGAGAAACTTTTTCGTGTGATGGTTAAATTGTTGCGACATTAGTTCACATACTATAAAGGTGGATGGCAGATTAATACGTTATAAACACAATATAATAGATTGATAATATTACGTGATTGTGTGATGGTTGCGCAGAAAAACTTCTCGTCACTTTGAGTGGTTCTTGGCTGCCTAGCCGAAGCCCAAAACAACAAAAGCTTTCTTTTGGGGCTTTCTGCTGAGTTGAAATAGGATGGATGGGTTAATACTTGACATGCAAATTGAAATGATCCAAAACATGGTTTGAATACTATCCTTTTGATTTAGCTTCTTCCAAATGCTTATAGAAGTTGAGGAGGCTTTCACTTGGTTTCGATAATGCAGAGGAGTTGGAAACTAGAGGAATGTACGATTAATTAGACCTGGCATTCGTGTCGTTTTTGTGTCATACTCGATATTTTAACGGATCGTATTGTGTAATATCCGTTAAAATAAACGGGTAAAATGACCCGATCCGAAATCGATCTGATAATATTAATAGGTAATATAATTCGACTCGTTACCCGTTAAGGAAAATATATTTTAAACCAATAAATAAACAAACGAAAAACATAATACTAAATAAGTATATACATACCATATTGTCACATCCAAAACATAAAAACGTAATTTTGTTTTAAGTATATTTTCACTTACCTAAATTGATCAAATGGTAAAATTGGAAAATATTGGAATAGAGTAGGGTTTTTTTTCGTCCAAAAAGTTCTAATAATATAAGTGAAATAGAATCCAACGGTACAGATTTACTTTCATTTATCTTACAACTATTATTTAAGTAAAGTCTTTAATAGTTTTTTAATTAATGTAGAAGTGTAAAAAATATAGAAAAAAATATATATATAAACGCTCGTAATGACAAGCCTTACAACTTTCATGAAGAATTTAACTTCGAAATTCGCCACTATAATCATATAAATCATAGATAAAAATTTAACCGTTGATTGTTGTTTACATTTACGCTTCATTGTTCTCATGAATTTTTTTTTTTTTCAGATTTTCTTTTTTGAAAACATCATCTATTAGAGGATGCAGGAAGATGAACGGTTTGGTTCGTTGTTATTATATTCAGAGTTTTACAGTTAGTGAAAATATTACTTGATGTTTATAAAGTTTCTACAAACTATATAACATTGACTCATATTTCAGTTAACTGTAAATATCGAAATGTGATATCAAGGATCTGAACCGTTCATCTTTTTACATCCGCTAGATGATCATGTTTTCAAAAAAGAAAATTAAAAAAATGAAATTCAGTAAGAAGAATAAAGCGTAAATGACAATCGACGGTTAAATATAAATTTAAGATTTATGGATTATATTGTTGGATTTCGAAGCTGACCCCTTCATGCAAGTTTTAAAGCTTGTCAATATGAGTGATTGTATTTTTTTTTTTTTTACATTTTTTACACTTCTAAAATAATTATTATTAATTTTGCCCTCAAATAAAAAACATTATTCATGAGGGTTTGGAGTATTTTAAAAATCTAAACGATAATGTAAGTGTAACAATTATTTACTCGTGGATGAATAATGATGAATCACGAATGTTTATATATTTTTTCACATTTTTCATACTTGTATGTATGTCTTCTTAGTTCTTGGCTATACAAATACTATAATAGTTTATTTTAATTTTGGACAACAACATGTTAAGTAAAATTTATCCTAGTAATGATAATAAGGAACTCTCATAATAAAAATAAATAATGACTAAAACTTTTTTTTTAAAACTTTTATAGAATAATAATACAAAACTATATATATAATATAGAATATATTGTATATATTAATATGGCTATTGTATTTTATAATAAATCTTTTAGTAATTAAACTTTAAAATTATCAAAATAAATTTTTTTTAACAGGTCGAAACGGGTTACCCACGGGTTATTAACGGGTCACCTAACAATGACCTGATTAGTTATGATGTTGACCCAAAACCCATTATTTTCGTATAGTTTTTATGTCGTGTCAGAAACTGCCGAGCCTACGATTAATGAGTTTGTAACTCAAGTAATTACGATTATTTTCTGGTGCACGTGATGTCACTTTCTCTCCAGTGTTGCACTTGCAAAGAAAATTTGGATTTGAATTGTGCTTGACTTTAGAATCGATCCTACTAGTCCTAGTTGTCAATTATGACTTTTTTAATTTTTTGGGTTTCTGTCTAGCAATTTCCCGAGTGTTCGTATTTCTTGAGTGAGATTAGGTGATGACAAAGAACCGGATGTCACATTATGGTTACCGGATCCTGGTGCAATAATTCAAGACCAAATTTGATTCTTATTAAAGTTAGATAATGGACCCCCTGATCGCACTTTTCTGTCCTAATCTTCTTTTTGAAATTGTATTTCTGTCGTCTATATTCCATGCAGTTCTACACTCATCTTATAGGCCCTTAAAATATTACTTAGTTTAAGCACTTGTTTAATCACAATTGGTCTCCTAAACTGTTTATTTTTTTGTGTTTTAACTTTTACGTGAATCATTTTCAACTCGGAGCAGCAGAAATTCCAAGTTGCAATGAAAAGTTTACTCGTCGGCTGTTTTTGTACACTGTAAAGTTTACTCTATGTTTATGTTTAAGTTCACTCATCAAAACTTAACTAAATGGTTCATTTGTTAGCGGTGACTTTGACGTGGTCTCGATTGTTAATGAAAGTTTTGTTGTGATCTTGCTTGTTTGTAATATGCTTTATGGAAAAAAAGTCGGCCTTTAATATTAAGTGTTCATGTATACATGTATAATGGGTTCCAGTTATAGGGTTATACCAAAACACCCACATGAAGAACCTTCCAAACTCCCATTTTTTATTGGTTAAATAGGAGGACCAACGAAATCAAATCCACAAATTTTTTTTTTTATCAAGATAAATCCCACAGCTTGTTCTCCAACCTTCTAATTTTAAATTCATAAAGTACAATCATACTATTGTTTGAAAACATTTCTGTTATTTAAAGGTTTATTAATTAATTTGTCCCTTAAAACTAATATTTGTCTCATTTGTTTTTTAAATTGTTATTTTTGACTACTCAGTCTTAATTTACTCAATTGTAATCCATTTCGTTAAATAGAATTAAATTAAAGGATAGTACAGACATTTCAATTTTGACACAATTTTTTGCTAACGTGCCTACTAAAATGAGAGAGGATCCTCGCTGGATCCTCTTTGTGAGGATTATGGAGATCATCCAATCATATCCGTTCATCGTACATCATATAACTAGTTTTTATCAGGTACTGTTTATATTCAATTTTAAATAAAAAAATTTACAATGATTTATGACCGCACGATGTACAATGAACGAATGCGATTGGAAAATCCTCAAGATCCTCCTGATACTAAAACAATCTCAATTCAATTTTGACAACTCTAATTTAAACCACCGTATATCTCTGTTGTAGATGATTTTTTTTTGCCGATTGATTCGAGCTGTAGCTATAGTCGTTGAATTCAATGAGTAGCTTAAATTAAATTTTGAAATACAATCCATTATTTGCTTCTCTCCTAACCCATAACTCACATAGTCCAAAAAAATTATATCACCATTTTACTAACTTTTATATTAACGTCTATTTGACATAATAGATAACATTATGGTAAATTAAAACTAAATGAGACGAAAATAACAATTGCAAATGGGAAAGTAAGACAAAACTAGTTTCATGAGGCAAACTCATTGATAAACCTTATTTAAATGCTTACTCCATACCACTCTCTTTATCATTGGCTATGATAAAATCTAATGTGCCAAATGACTTTCCCAAAGGGAAAAGAACATTAGCACTTGGGACGGATTAAAATATCTTAAATTATGACTGCCATTTTTCATTGAAAAAAAATGCTCTAGATAATGTATTCTTTATAAAGTGAAGTTCACAAATAGTAATCCAACTTGAGCGGATTCAACTTGAGATTTGATCCCCTACAATGGCTTAAAGAGAGGACGGTTGAAAGTAACTAGAGTGATTAAAGTAACTGTAGAGTACGTTGAATCTAAATCATACATTCATATGAAAACAAACCTCATCTATAACTTTATGTTATTAGATTATATGATGAAAAAAGATTTTCGACCATAGTATAATAAGTATTAGACAAGAAAAAATATTTGTCAAGTTTAAATTTTGACTTTTGAGTTGAGCGGTATGTGATTATTCAAACAACAAAGGTAAAAAAAAATTTCAAGCATTGAGCTTGAGTGTATTCAAACTCCAATTCGTTTGAGCTCAAATCAAATCAATTCGATTCAAATCTTTTATTAGCAAGGAAAAGGAAAATCGAACTTAATTAAGTCTCTTCTTTTTGGATCCGAATCTTTGCCGGTTAAATCCTCCTGTATTTTCATCCCTACTCACTGTATAACATTAGTGGTCATTTCATGAGTGAGGAAGAAATTTGGCAAAAAAAAAAAAAAAAAAAAAATCAAAAGAGGTCATGTATGACATCTATCGACTATCATTGTTCTTCATCCAATCCAACAAATCTTTGTCTGGCCAAAAAGAAAAAAGAGAAAGGGAAGAAATGGGAAAAAAGCAAAAAGGCGCTACTACCCCCGTTTATAAATCGTTGGGTATCCCCATCTCCAACTCTCCAAGTTGCCTGTTGTCTTGAAACCATAAAAACCCAGCTGCCTTCTTGTTTCTTAAGCTCCCGGTCTCTGGGCTTCTTCGTCTCCGTAGCAACCAGATAGCTTTATCTCTCTCTTTCTCTCTCTCACAACCATTTCTCTGTATTTTTTTTCAAGGTTTACTTATACTAATATTTCTTTGTTATAATAATATTTCTAC